ATTCCTGATTTCAAATGGAAAACTTCTAAGATAACAGCACTGAGAATAGTGCTTATTGAAGGCTTTTGGTAGAAATCCTTTGTCAGATCAGTTTCCCTGTTGACTTAAGTTTGCTACAATTCATGAATGAGTGCTAAATTTCACTTAAATTCTATATCTGCATATTCTTTCTTTGTGATAAATATGTTTTTTTCCACTCATCTATTAATATAGTTAATTACATTAATACATATAAATGCCAATTTATCATTCAGCTATCAGTGGACACTTAGCTTATTTCCACATAATTATTGTAAGTAATGCTGCAATGCACATGGGGGTGCAGATATTTCTTGGGATTGGTGATATTGTCCCCTTCAGATATATATTGAGAGTGGAATTGCTGTATCATACAGTAATTCTATTTATAATTTGTTTCAGGAATCCCTATAATGTTGGCCATAGTGGATGTGCGAGTCTCACATTCTTACCAGCAGTGCACCATCATTCTCTTTCCTTCACATCCTCATCAACACTTACTATCTTTTGTGTTTGTGACAATTGCTGTCCCAACAGGTGTGAGGTGACCTCTCACTGTGGTTTTGATTTGCATTTCCCTGAAACTGGTGATGTTGAGCACGTTTTCATGTAGTTACTGGTTATTTGAACATTATCTTGGTAGAAATTCTATTCAGGTCCTTTGCTCCTTTTACATCCAATTTTATTTTGTTATTTATCAATATGTTGAATAGGAGTGGTGATAGTGTACTATGTAGTCTTGTTCCTGATCTTGGAGGAAAAGCAATTTCAACACCTTATCATAGGGTAAGTTCCTAATGAAAGAACTTCATTTTCCAGAAAGCCATAAAAATTGTAAGCTGACATGTACCTAAGAAAGTAAACATGATACATGAGAAGGAGAAAGTTGTCAAGTCCATTGTTACACTGAGAAATTGACATGTCTGTCAAAAAAATATTACCTAAAACACAGGAGATTTCACCAACTCAATAAATTTGGTCTAATGGGCTTATAAGAATCCTCTATCCAGTCATGTATTAAAACAAGTCTCAATAAAATTCAAAGAAATAATATCACATAGATCATATTCTCAGGTCACAATGCAGCTAGTATTGACATCAATGGCAAAAATAATTTTTGAAAAGCACATACACTTGAAAATTTTACATCACACCTGTAAATATGGACAAAAAATAAAAATCAAATCAAATGGCAATACAATAAGATATGTGAAAATTCAGGAGGTACAGTGAGGCACCATCAGGAAAATCTGTGGTCCAAAAGAATTATTTACAGAAAAGAAAGAGTGAAAATACATGAGCTAATAATTGACCTAAAACTATAGAAAAAGAGTAAGGTGGATAAACCCAAGAAAATGAAAGGGAGATACTTTAAATGAAAAATATGTGAAAAATGAAGCAAAAGACGGTAAGTAATAACAAAGTCAAAAGTAAAGTGAAAACTCTACTGATTTAGATAGTGCTCTAATGAAATTGACTGTAAAGTAGAACAGTGCTTCCCAACTTTAAAAAAAATTATAACCTCCCCTAGGAGCTTTTCTAAACACTGTTTTCCTTAAGCCACTCCATGAGATTTTAATACCACAGATTTGCTGATCTCTTTATATACTGTACTTCATGCTTAAAAGGAGTGAGACTAATTTTTACTCCCTCAGGGCCATATACTCCCATTCTGAATGCATGCAATAAGGAAAGACACAAGTAAAGATAATTTTAAAAGAAGGTATAACTACAGATAGAGCAGAAATGCAAAAGTCAAACATACTCTGAAGAAATGTATACCAATATATGTGAATAAATGGCCAAATTCCTATGAAATATGGGACTTAAAATAAATAATGAAAGAAATAGAAGAACTAAATAATCCACTGTGTTCTTCTGTTCGGGCTGCCATAGCACAGTACCACAGGCTGGGTGGCCTGAACAACAGAAATTTATTTTCTCACATTTCTGGTGGCTGCAAGTCCAGAGCAAGCAGTGTCGGTTTCTGCTGGGACCTCTCCTTGTGGATCGTAGATACGTGCCTTCTCAGTGTGTCCTCACATGGCCTGTTCTCTGTTTCTGTGTGGAAAGAGGACTGTGGTGTCTGTTCCTCCTCTTATGAGGACACCAGTCCTGTGGAGTAGGGACCCACCCTGACGACCTCCTCTAACCCTAACGCCTCCTAAAGGCTCTCCCTCTGCATACAGGTACACTGTGGTGTAGGGCTTCAAAATATGCATCAGGGCAAGGGGGGCACAATTCAGTCCATGCATTCCCTAGATATTAAATCAATTATATCAGTAGTTTAAAGATTTCTCACAAGGAGAAAACCACCGGCACAGATGATACGAAAAATTCATGCAGCAGATTAGAGTGGTAAAAGAGTTTCCAAGGAGAAAGAAGATGAAAACACCCCAAAGTGCACTTCATGAGGCTAAACCAGTTAAGGACAGCACAACAGTAGGAAATTACAGGCCAGCCTTCCTCATGTTCATAGGTTAAATAAAATATCTGAGCTAATAGTAAACTAAAAACTGTATAAAATTGTATAAAAAACATTATCATGGCCAAGCTGGGTTTCTTTATAAAATGTTAAAACTGGTTTAACATGCATTCATATAAATAACTATATTAATAGATAACCAGAGAAAAATATATTTATCACAAAGAACGAATATGCAGAAAAAGAATGTAGGTGAAATTCAGCCCTCATTCATGAATCGTAGCAAAGCAAAGGAAGCAGGGAAACTCCCTGATCTGGCAGAGGATTTCTACCAAAAGCCTTCAATCAGCACCGTTCTCAGCGCTGATGTCTTAGAAGTTTTCCCTGTGAAATCAGGAAGGCCTCTGTCACGGCTTTGAGTCACAGGTCATTGGAGACCGACTCAGCACCATGTTTCTTGTGTTTTATTTTTGCAGAAACCCTAATGATTCCATAGATAAATGTTTAGAATGAGTGTAGGAAGTAGGAAGTTGAATATATATCAATAAATAAACTTCACAACATCAGCAATTTCAAAACAACTTTTAAAATGTTATTTATTACAGCAGCAAAAATACAGGATTTTTAGAGAAGGGACTTGGCAAAAAAGGTCAAGAGACCCCAGGGAGGTGGCCAGGTCGCTTCTGTTGGGCATCCCCAGTGTCACTACTTAGAAAGTCCTTTGCTCTCAAGCTGCCCAAGTGCTTTGCTTCTTTCTTGGACACCTTGGAGACCCAAGTTACACCGTGTGTGCTCTTCCAGGCCACTTTGGTTTGTCTGGAGCCCTGGGGAGCTGGGCTGTGGGTTAGACACCTGCAAGCCCTCAAACAAGGAAGGGGGTGGGGGCGTCTCAGTCTTGGGGGGCAATGATCTTGCTTCCATTTTCACTTCCTGTGTTGGGCTGGGAATAAATGCTACTTATTCAGTGGTGACAGTGGTATGACTGTCAATACATTTCAAGGACTCTTTGGTTTCCAAGGACCTTTCTTGGCCTTTCTGTCATCCTCAAAACCATCCGTGCTTGGAGAGCAGGGAAGGCCTGTGATATTCAGTCTCCTGAAAGGGGGCGGCTTGTAGAGGCTGGAGGAAGCAGCCCAGAGGCTGGAGGGGCCACAGGACGCAGGCTCCCTGAGCTGCCTCATGCCAGCATCCAAGATGGGACTGCCCCTGACTCCCCCTGGTCTCCATGGACACTGCCGAATGGGGATGCAAGCCCAGCCCACCAGCTTCTAAGCTGACCCAGCAGAGCTGGGAGTCTCCCCTGCCAAGGAAGAAAAGTGTCTCCTCGCCGTCCCATGGAAGGACTCTGAGTTGCCCTGGGCAGCTCTTGCCTCGCTGATCCTCAGCACAGCCCAGGAGGCTAGTGATTCCCACCCTGGGCTTGGGTTGGGGTCTGAATGGTCCTGTGGGGGACTGAGAGCCTCCTTGGGTCAGTCTTTCTGGAAAGGGCCAGTGAGTCCAGGGGTTCCTCTCAGCTGCCATCCTGCTATAGCGCCCCTGCCCACACCCTGGCCTCTGCTGTCGGGCCTGCTCAGGCACATCGAGGCGCTGGGATGGATGGGGAAGGGCTCAGGGTGCAGGTGGCGCATGTGTAGTAATAATGGGCACTATGTGCCAGGCAATGTGCCCTCCATTTAGGCCTCCCAAAGCTTAAGGGAATGGATCTCTGTCCTTAATTTAGGATGACGGAACTGAGGCTGAGGTGCAAGTATTTATTCAATGTCAACCAAGCTAATTTGCTTCCAAACATTAGACAGTGGGAGGATATTCCCCTCTCTCTCCCCCAAGGGAGTGTGAGACGAGGGTATGAGAAAGGCACCAGAGAAACAGCTTAAGTGGAGAACCAGGACCTCCCCACTCCTGCCCCTCTTTTCCCCCGCCTCCTTTGGCTTCTTAAATGCTGGCAGGCAGCACTCGTTCCGACCACAGCTGGCTCCCTCAGCAGCTCAGGGTGAGGAGTACAGGCCTTGCCCTGAAAGTGGAGAGGGAAGGAGAGGAAGGGGAGCAGCATAAGTGTACCCCCACTCAGGCTCCAGACAGGCTGTGCTGCAGCACTGTGCTCCCCTCCCCCACCATGGCCCTCAGTCTTGACGCTTGCCATTTTAGCTGGAAGGACTAAATCCCACCAGATTGTGCAAATGGGAGGGGGAGCTGAGGGTGCCCAAGAGAGCCTTTCCACACCCACTTCCAGCCCTGGGCCATCAGTGAGAAATGTGCCTGGAGGGTTGCTGCAGTGGGTCAGGCAAGACCTGAAACTATGGCACACTGCTCAGCCCCAGGGCCGGGAGCTGCACACACCCAGACAAGGCCGGCTTGATGAGAAGCACTTGGAGAGAGAACATTCTCCCTGCTGAGGCTTCTCCCTACTCCTCTTGGGGAAAGGGGAATAGGAGGCGGCCCCAGCCCCACAGTGAGACAGACTCTGTACTAAAGGGCCTGCAGGAAGGCAGGGAAGGCAGAAACGTGCTCACATGATAGATGCACCTCCATCTCTAACTCATGTCTTCTTCTTTTTCAGGTCAGCAGTGTAAAGAACTGGCTGTTCATATACAGCTTTGTGCAGAAGTTGGTAAACAAATTTGGAAAGTATGGCCTTTCAGCTCTGTATTGCAGGGTGTTTTCCTGATAACTGAGTACATTGCTATTTAGATGCAGCGGATGTGGGACTGCTTCAGGTCACAAAGCTCAGGGCAGTGTTCTGAAGCAGGAAAAAGGACAGATCACACTTGTTTCCTAAGATCACAACCCTGCTTGGCTCCTTCCTGGGAGTCAGGTCGTGGTTTCAGGGACACAGTCTTCCCTGGAGGACCTCACAGATTAGGAAATAGGCAAACTACTTAACACTGTAACTAAACATCTGGATGTGGACATTTGACCTAGATCTTGAAGGATGAGAAAGACAAGGTAACAAGAACCATGAAGGTCATTTGAGCAGTAAGGGGTCTATTTGGCTGAACATGATTAACACAGGAAGGCTGGGAGATGCAGCGAGAGGTCAGCTTGGGGCCAAGGCCAAAGAGGCCAATAATGCCAGGAAGAAGGGCTTGGATTTCCTGCTGTGAGCCATAGGGAGCTTTGGATGATGTGTGATCAGGGGTCTGACGTGACTCCAGAAAGACACGACTCCGCTGTACTCCAGGAAGAGAGGTCTCATACTTGTGGACAAGGGCCAGGACTGGTGGGGAGCTCATACAGGGACCTATGCTAACAATTTAACTGAAGGATAATGAGGGCCAGGTGATCAGAAGAGAGTGGCCACGAAAAGGGAGGGGAGAATATGAATGGCTGCCAAGAGGAAGAATAATTTCTTTGAGGTGAGGGGGAGGGAGGTGGGGAAGATAGTCCAGAAAGGAGGACAAGTGAAAATGCAAAGAATTTTACAGGAGAGGAGAGGCCAGCTTGGGAGGCCCTTGTGGAAGTGTATGTAGCTGTCTATCTCCTTGTGCATGCAGCAGGCCTGTGTGCATGTTGGTGTGTGTGTGTGTGTGTGTGTATGTGTGTGAGAAAGAGAGAGGCAGAGAGAAAAAAACAGAATTTTGGGATTTGGACTACATGAGCAGGATGCTATGCCACACTCTGACAAGCAGCTGCACACCTTCCAGGCCTCATAATCCTTCCCTAAAGTTATGAGAACTTCTGGAGTCTGTAAATGGACTCCAGACTAAAAGAGACAGAATGGAAAGCAGGGAATTTGGCAGGCACCCCCTCCCTGGTGCCCAACCTCACTCCCCAGGCACTGTTTGATGGGTAGAGGTCCATCCTCTGGGCGACCCTGAGAGAGCCGCATTTGAGGCTTTCCCCAGCTAAGCTCACAAGTGACCCCTTGTTACCTGCTCAGAATTACCTGGTCTTTCTGGGAACCTTCCATGCCCACAAAATAAAGAGTTGCCCCAACTGCTTAGATTCTGCAGCCTGAGAAAAGGAAAGTGTTGGGTATAATACATTTGATCCAAATATGTGGATCAGAAGGCTGGTAACAATGGACTGAATTCACTTCCACCACTGTCTCTGTAAATGGTCATGGCAGCAGTTTTCCATCTGTCAACGTGATGGTGAGTCTGGGAGCATCGCCTGTGGGAGAAGCAGGGAGCGACTGGGTCAATGAGAGCAACTGCCACAGGCTGCCAGGACCCAAACACTGCTTGCCGCACCTCACCCTCCTGGGGAGAGGCCACCTGGACCTGAGCTCCTGCCACCCACATGCCTGGAAGGCTTTGCAGCTTATCATGCAACAAGAAGGGCCCCTAGCCCAGGACCCACTCTGCAGATGAGGTGAGTGATCCCAGCTCAGGGGTGACGGGTGCCTGGAGGAGAGGCCTGAAGGAAACCTCCCCCCAGGAAGAGCCAGGCCCCACCCGGTGAGGAGAACCCAGTCCTGCGGGGCCCAGAGATGACAGGGATGGACAGGAACCGGTTGGCAGACGTTGAGGAAGAAAGAGCCCCACAGTGTCTGTCAGGCTCTGCCGTCTCTTCCCTGATTCCACATCGTCTATTGTTGTCAGACCCATTGGTTCCTCCTAAGCTTCCCACGGCAGCTGAGAGCCATCCTGCTCTCCCTGCAGGCAGTGTGGGGCCCCAGGGAACCCAAAACACACCTGCCAGAGTCCCCTTGCAGGGGACTGTTCCAGCCACAGCGCCTGCCCCATGCTTACACCTGTCAGAGCTCAGAGGGGCCTGAACCACAGGGTCTGGCAGCCATGGTGCCACCTGCCATTGGGTCCAGGACCACTTTCTGGTCTGTTCTCTGCCTTCCTCTGGTCCCCACCAAACTGCAATGTAATGAACCTGCCCCCCTGAGCAGGACAAGGGTCCTCTTGTCTTCTGTGTGTCCCTGAAATGCAGGCCTTGTACCCCACCCTTCCAACTCCTGCCCCAGGCCCACCCCATGTTTTCCCCTCACGTCCTCTCTGTGGTCACTCTGTGTTGCCTCCAACCTTTGACCTTTCCCTCTAAATGTAGCCCATGACTCTCCACCAAAAATTCTGATTTGTTCCAAATTCCAAACCTTTCAGTGACTGACAGTAATCTCACCCCAAACACACAAGGCTGGTAGGCCCCCTGCCCATGGTGGAGGCTGCAGTGTGGGATCAGCAATGCCCTGGGGACAGAGCCGGAGGGGACTTCCCAGTCTCAAGGCAGCAACCTGCCTTAAGTTTCCTCACAGCCACATCTGCTTTTCAGGACAAACTGAGCACCTTGTTAGACATTCAGATGCTCACCCAAGAAACATACGTGTGTGTCCAGCTGCCCACGAGCATGGTAAGAGGGACACAGGGATGCTTCCCCTGGGCTGGGGTCTTTTGCTTGTGCCCCTGACAGTTACCCTCAGGCACAGTGGGTCAGAGATCCCTGTGTGGGCACCTGCCAAGGAAGATGCCCAAGACATGGGGGCATGGCACTCCTGAGCCCCACAGCCACCCCTGGGCAGGGCACCCATGATTCCCTTGCACTGTGGTCTCAAGGGTGTCAGGAAACTTACTTATCTAGGATGCTACCCAGTTCTTCAAAACCTAGGGAAACAGGGCTTGGGGGAAAAGCAGGCCACTGAGGTCTCCTGGCCTCCCAGACCACTGTCCCTCCACCCTGAACCCCCCACCCTGTGGGTGTGGGGCTCCCTCCAATTCCTGAGACTCTCCTGGCTGCTCACGCAGGTGTCAGGGTGCCTGATAGGGACTGATTTTACCAGTTAGTAAAGATTCATTCATTCTGTTATTGCCTTTGACAACAGTGACTAATTTTTATTGTGTTCCCCTCAGGGACCAATTGATAGATCAGAACTGTACACAGTTTCACTGTTTTAATCCTCCCAGTAACTTCACCTGTAGGTATTAAAGGTGTCCCAGGTTTAGGAAGATGGTTCTGACACAGAAAGGCCAAGTGACTTTTTCCACATCACAAAGCCCGGAGGTGGCAGAGCTGAACTTGAATCTCATTCCTGGCTCTTCCCTTCTCACTGCCCTGCCCCCCTTTGGGGTCAGCACTCATCATTTCCTGACGGCTTTACCTCCAAGCCACCAGAGGGTGGCCATGCTCAGACCCCACCCCCGGGGCCAAGGACAGATCCTGGCTCACCTGGGACTCATCTGCTTAAGCTTCCCCAGCCTCAGACCCTTTGCACAGACTGGGGTGGGGCACCTGGGAGACATGTGGTCGCCAGAGTCTGTGAGTAGGGCTGTACTGGCCACATCCTGGCCCTCTTGGCTGAGCAGGTGACATTTAGAAGTTCTGGGCAGCCCTAGAAGTCTCTGGATATGGCTGATGAGACACACCTGAGGCATGCTTGTGCCCAGCAGGGCCACTATCTGGCATCAGAGGTTCAGGTCTCCTGTCAAAGGTTGGGCTCAAGGCTCCAACCAGTGGAGTCACAACCTGGAGACGCCATACAGGGGTAGGGACAGAACCACAGAGCCAGATAGAGGGTTCAAACAAGGGGAGGCAAGTGACCAGAGGGTGGACACAGGCAAGCTGCTAGGATGGCCTTTGTGCCCAGCAAGGTGAGGGTGGGGACACTGAGCAACTGTCTGAAATGGTCACATTCCCAAGGGCCAAGCTCAGGCGAGGAGGGTGGCAGACTGATGGGTTCTGGGCATGTACAGCTGCCCAGGGTTTGGCCAGGCCCTGCAGTGCCACCTCTGGACTGGTCCCAGCAGTGCTGTGAGCCCCAAGTGACCACCTGTTTGTTCGCTGGTGGTGCAGTGGAGGTCCCAGAGGTCAGGGAAGTGGGTGAGGTCACCCCAACAGTAGTGGCAGCACACAGGATTTCTTAAATGAACTGAGCTTGTGCTGAGGAGAGCTGCGCCCTGTGCACTGGCCCCTCCCTCTCCCCTGCCACAGCCCTGGAGACCCCAGGAGTGTAGGATTCCAGCTGGACATCTGGACCTTCTAACAGGTGCTGGGATTTTGGCTCCTGCTCTTTAAGCCTTCAGTGTGGGAGTCTAGGCGGAGAGGCTTGGGTGTCACTGGGCCCTGCAGTTTCTGCAGAGCAGGGAGGGCCCCAGCCCAGCCTGGTCTCAGTGCCAGCCAGCCAGCCCAGTCTGCATGGGGCATGTTACCAAGGAGTGGCCTTGTGGCCTTGCGCAGACTAACACAGGCAGCCTTTACTCCTGCCGTGGCAAACAGGCCGTTCGTCTGCCCCACTGCCTTCAAATCCCGGAGGAGTTTCTCTCCCACTGCTCCCTTCCAGAGCCTCTCTCCTACACACCCACACAGTGACCCAGCGAGGGTCAGTCTAGTTCCTTAGGCTTGTGCCAAACCCCGACTCCCATCAGGTCCTGATTCTCTTCCTCGCAGCCCGCAGGTCACAGAAACAGCCCTCGTAGATCCATCAGGAAAGTCAGGATCAGGATAGAACGGGTGCCCAGGGCAACAGAAGGGCTCCCAGTGAGGGTGACCTGTGCTACCCCATCTCGGGTCCTTTTGAGACAAAACGGGTGCCATTTCCTCCCACAGCTCCCTGCAGGGACCAAGGCTGCTGTTTACACACATTTAGGGAGTTTGATGGAAATATAAAGTTGACCTGAAAAAATAAACAGTTAAGAATATGCCCAAGAGAGAAGAAGAGTTAAGTCTCCTTGGGACTTTCCCTTAGGCCCAAGAGAGACTGACGTCAGTGCTGAGAAGGGAGATCCAGGTCCAGTGTTCTGGGGGCTGTAGGGCCAGAGTGCCCCCAGTTCGGCCTTAGGAATGTGGCATGGCAGATGAGGTGGGGGGGGATGGGTGAGTAGAGTTTGCAAATGTGAAATGAGCTGAGAGGATGGGGTGTCACTGGGCCCCTTGTGGCCTTTCATGTACTAACAGGCAGCCTTGTTTATTCTGCTCTGGCAAAGAGGTCAGGGCCTAGGCCAGGGGAGTGGGCAGCTCTCAAGCAGAAAAGCACCAGGGGCAGAGTGGGAGCGTAGGGACACACAGGGCGGGGTCACAGGCTTTGCATGCATGCAGGCCGAGCTGGTGACAAGTGAGGGGCTTGGTGGTGAGGACTCCAGCAGGCCAGCTGGGCCCTGGAGCAGGATTCCCAGGCAGAGGGGAAGCACAGCTGAAGGTGGGAGCTGCCAGGAGCCTCTTCTCGGGAAAGGTGATTTTGTGGGGCCTGGAATGGGGTAGACCAGAGCCAGGTGTCCAGGGGAGAGGGGACATCATGTAGGCCTGAGAAGGGAGGCCAAGGGCCTGGCCAGGCAGTAAGTACACAGGAATGTGAGAGTGGACTTCCGGCCAGAGATGAGCCTAGGACAGGATATGGGCAGAGCGGGCTCTGAGGCTCCATGCAGGAAAGACAGGTTCTCGGAAGCCTGATGTCAGCACACTACATGGTGCCCCTAGGCAGACCCACGGGGGATCAGTGGGATTAGGGGCAGCAGGACAAGGGGGGCTTGAGAAGACGAGGAACCTGGCCAGCCCCATGAGCCAGGGACCCTGCAGCCTTCAGCCCCCAATTCCAGTGGCTTCTTAGTGACTTTCTCTCTCTGCTCTTCCCCACAGGAGAGGAATGCTTCCCCTCCCACCCCAATGACACCCCATCAGGGGGCGCTGCCCTGCGACCCAGGGATCTGCCATAAATTTATCCTTCGGTCCCTCTGTATCTGCAACTGCTGGTGCCCATGTTGCCAGCCCCCTCCATCTGGACGCTCCTCACCAAATGCGGCCGCTCTTCCCTCCTGCGGCCCAGGCGCTCTGCCCTGCCACAGTACAACTCCCACCCCATAACCCAGTCTCTGTTTAACAATATTGTTAAAGTGCTCTGTGCAAACTGAACTGGACATCAGTACTGAGTCCTGGTTTACATCAGAAGGAGTTGAATTACGTTGCTCATTAGCAAGGAAGTGTGTTACCTGGTGAGCGTTGTTCCGTTACATGAGCTGCGTCTTGACTCCTCCTGCCAGGACAAAGCACCCCGGGGCCCTGCGGATGTGCACATGGCCAAGTCCCACCCCCACAGCCTGGTCTTCATGTATCACCCAGGGCTGGGGCACATGGGGTTTTAGTCAAAATCTGCTCTGTGAAAAAAGCCCAAATGTCTTTAAAATATGAATATGAACCTGTGTCTCCTTCCCAAATTTTATGCAGAGAGAATACTTAAATTTCTCACCTTCACTCCATGTTCCTGCTTTCCACTTTACCCACATTCCAAGGGTGTCACAGAAGAGACAGAGTCCTCTAAAGCTCACCAGCTTCCCAGATGCCCAAACTGTCTGTAAGCACGGAATTTTAGAGGAGTCTTTCCACCTAAGAAGGTAAACCTCTATTTGCATTTGTCACCTTAGAAGAAACCATGTTCTCCAGAGCTGCTCCAGCGTGCCGTGTCCCCCCGCCCAGCGTGCGCAGTGTTTGTGGACGGCTCCCAGGGCCGTGCACACCACGCACGGGAGCCTGGGGTGGAACCCTGAGTGCTTCAGGAGAGATCCTTTGGGGGACTATAACCTGTTACCCCTAATTCATGTGGACAGTAAACTACCACCCACACCCAGCTCCACCTCCCTGAATACTTATGCCTTGCTGTTGAATTTCTTTAAGACATATTTGCTAAAACTGTGTCCATTGGAGTTTTAGCCTGTATTGCTTGAATTGGATGGACAGTGGTGACCATAATTTCCCCATGTTTGAAAAAAAGAAAGCTCTTGGAATAGCTTGTATATATGTGTCTAAGGATCATTTGCAGGGTTACCCTGGGTCACGTGGCTTTGCACCTTCAGAGCACCTCTACCTGTTCTTGCTGTCTCTCATGGACCCCTCCTCTGTTTCTCGGTCCTGTCCCAGCTTGGGTCCCACATCTGTGTCCTACCAACAGCCAGGATGGGAACGGTGAGAGACGTCACCTCCAATGTGAACCTGTCCCATCTCTGCCAGTACATTGTCACCCCAGCTCTTGATAAGAAGGCTTCCTGGGGCACAAAATGCTAGGCACAGGCATTCCAGAGAATTGGCCTACTCAGAATGGAGGAAATGAGAAAGGATGCATAAGCCCATGTGGGGTGGGACTCGGTGGCTTGGTTGGGCCCCATTCAGAGCCTCAGTCCCTAAGCGAGTGTAGGTGCCTCAGGCAGCCGCTCCACACTGCACTTTGACCTCCTTCATGGAAAGTGATGAGGCCTTCATCAGTGTAATGTTTTGTTTTGTTTGTTTGTGTAAAAGCCACTGGTTGTTAAATAAATAGAAAGAATGTTAACAAGGAGTGCCTGGCATCTGGTACACAGATGGCAGGGCCCTGTGCAGGGCAGGATCCAGAGCAGTGGTTCCCTGATGCCCATGCAGGTGTGGGCAGGACCCACTGGTCCTCACCTGCCTTTACTGAGCATTAAAGAAGTGGCTGGGACTGTAGGAGTTTCAAAAATCTAGGGAAAAATGTTTATTGTACTCATAACACCAAGAAAAGTATGGGAAATAATTTTTCTTAGGCAGAAAGGGGATTAAAATCACAATTTAGGGAGATTTTATGTCTTCCTTAATACTAAGTGAAGTATTTTGGATCATCCCTAATTGGTGAAAGCATTGTCCTGTCCTGAGAGGTTCAAGGACCCTTCTCTGAAACTGGCTCTGTGCCTGTACATTATCTCCGTGCATAAACGTAAGATGGTACCTGCCCATCTGTGAGACTCTGCAACCCTATGTGGAGAAACGTGTCTGTGCCTTCCTGGACAGCTCAGAGACCCTGAGTGAGACCAACGTATATGTTCATTAATGGACATATTATTCTTTCTTTAGCCAACGTGAACTAGGGCCCACCACCCCTTCCTCCTCCCTGAGCTGAAGAGGGAGGCAGTCATAACTTTGGAACGTTAGACCCGAGGACATCTGGGAGGGACAAGGGCCCGCCCCTTACCACCCCACCCTGACCCTGTCCTTGCTGCCTGTGGGGCACAGTAAGAGGAGGGAGCAGGCAAAGGGCGTGTCCTGGGTGGACACCACTCAGCCCACCTTGTGGCCCTGCCTTCCCCCGTTCCAGGTCAGTTGTCCCCTCTGGTGTGGCATTAACCAGGGCGCTGCCCACCCCCCAAGGAGGGAAGGGGGTGGCCTGCAGCTGCTGCCTGAAGTGCAGGGGGGCTGCCTTTTGTCCCACCTCCCCCACCCCCACCCTGCCAGAGTCCTTGAATGGGGCAGGATGTTTTTAGAAAGTGAGTGTCCCATCTGAGCTGCCCTCAGCTGAGAAATGTACAAAGGGAAGTATGCTGGGCGATGCTTACTCCTTATTTTATACTGGGACTATCACAATGCCCATTCTCTGAGTGCCCCTGGGTCATGTAAGGCAGCTCCTGTAGACTCAGGTTGGACCTCCAAGCTGGATCACATGCTTTTGGGAGCTAGGACCCCACCCCCCTCAGGTCAGCCGTAGGCCCCCCAGGGTCAGCTGTAGGCCTCCTACTCAAGCACACAAGTGGGAGCACATACACGCTTTTCCCCCATTGGAATATGCCTACCTAATAGAACTGTGGCCTTAACAGTTCCCCCCCACAATGTCTGTGCACCAGGCCCCCCAGAGTGGGCCCACGGAGGAGCTGGGGTAGCAGAAAGGAGCTCCATTTCTCAAGCCCGCCAGTTTGCACACGCAGCAATCTGCCGAGATGCCCCTTCAGGGTCGGGCTCTGTGTTTTCCATCCCACTTTCCAAGCAGGTAGCCAGGCCTGAAACATCAGGCCAGAAGTGAACTTCTCTCCCATCTCAGGCCAAGACAAGCTCCTGAGGGGCTTAGTGACTCTAAGTGAAGGGGTCAAGTGGAGAAGGAGGAAGGACAGAGGCCCGGGGTCAGGCTGGGTGGCTGCCCACTGCTGGAGCTCCGAGGGATGGCTGGGCTGTGACCAGGCCTGGGGACTCAGCCTCAGCAGAGCCACAAGGACTCAAAATATAGGGCCATGCAGGCCAGATGCTGGGAGATGGGAAGGCCATGAGGACCACTAATCAGGGCCTCTGTATGCCGGACTTTGGCCCAACCCTGGACAAAAACTACCGTCTTAAAAACAAAGAATCCCATTCTTAAATCATGGATCCTTCAGATCAGTCACAAAGCTTGCAAAAATGTCACAGACCACTTCAAAATGTGCCCCCAGCCTATTCACATCCTCTGTCAGCTGGAGGATTTCTGTGGAAAAATTGATGTCCTACCATAGGGGCTCCTCAGGCAGGAGACCCCGCTTGACCTTGTCTCTGGGCTGGGCAGGGGCAGGCCCTGCAGGGGACCCCAGAAGTACAGGGCTACACAGGCTGTATGTCCTGACCTGTGCTCAGATAGGCAGCCAGGCCCCAGTGGGACCAGATGGGGGAACCATTCCCAGCCTTGTCCTGCAGGCTCTCCTGCCCTCTGGGCTATGGGGCCCCTGCACCAGCTTCTTTTCTCCCCCATCTCCACCTCCCTGTGTGCTTGACTGCCCTCTGCCCCACAGGCCCTGGTTGCTGGTACTCTGCTCCCCAGTGCCACATTGTGGGACACGTGGCCATGATGCAGGTCTAACCACCAGGGTCACATACAAACATGGCTGCAAACATGGTCAGGCCCAGCACGGGGCGTGGGGCAGTTTGGAGGGAGGTGAAGGGTTCCTACCAGTAAGATGGCAAACTTCTGGCTTCTCTTCGGGGTCCTCAGTTCCCG